AAAAAAAAAAAAAAACAGAAAGGAAGCTGGAGGGGGCAGGGTGCAGAGTGCTGGGGATAGGTGCCTGTTAAGAGAGGGAGAGCAAGGCAAGCTAGGCCCAGGGACCCAGAGGCACTTGGATTCATCCTGAGTGGGAGGGAGAGGCCTTTTGGAGGGTGAAGCAGAAGAGGTGATGTGACCTGATATGATATGTTCTTAGCAGGATGATGCCAGGTGCTCTGTAGAGACTGGATTCAGGCCAGGAGCAGTGACTCACACCTGTAATCCCAGCACTTTGAGAGGCTGAGGTGTGTGGATCACCTGAGGTCACGAGTTTGAGACCAGCCTGGCCAACATGGTGAAACCCTGTCTCTACTAAAAATACCAAAATTAGCCAGGCATAGTGGTGGGCGCCTGTAATCCCAGCTACTAGGGAGGCTGAGGCAGGAGAATCGCTTGAACCAAGGAGGCGGAGGTTGCAGTGAGCCAAGGTCCTGCCACCGCACTCCAGCCTGGGCGACCGAGTGAGATTCGGTCTCAGAAAAAAAAAAAAAAAGACAGAGAGATTGGATTGGAGGCAGGGAGGCCTGAGTCTTTCACACAGGAAGTGGTGTGAGCTGTGCCAGGGCCGAGATGGGTGGAGGGAGGGAGGAGAGGGGGCGATTGTTGAGTCAGTGGGGAGCTATAGTGAGCCTCAGGGATGACTCCCCCAGCTCACGCTGGTGGGATGGTCAGGTGGTGGGTATCCGTCTGAGAGATGGAGAGCCCTCTGCAAATCCAGCATGGCCTGGTTCTGGGTGGGGCCGGGATGGTGAGGAGCTGGGCTGGTGGGCGGCCTTGGTGACAGAGCCTTGCCCCCAGCTGGGCAGCTGGCCGGGACCTCGTCGGTGGAGATGTACCGCCAGGTGCTGCTGTGGGGCTGCCGCTGTGTGGAGCTGGATGTGTGGAAAGGACGGCCACCCGAGGAGGAACCCTTCATCACCCATGGCTTCACCATGACCACGGAGGTGCCTCTGCGCGACGTGCTGGAGGCCATTGCCGAGACTGCCTTCAAGACCTCGCCCTACCCCGTCATCCTCTCCTTCGAGAACCACGTGGACTCGTGAGTGAGCCCCTGGCATGAAACCCCATGGACCCAGGGACAGCCCTCCCGCCTCAGCGCTGTTGGACTGCTCAGGGACCTCCAACCCTGTGAACCGCCACTGACCTGTCCTGTAGACCCCAGCTTCCCCTAGGGACCTCTGACCTCTGACCTCGGCTCCGCAGGGCAAAGCAGCAGGCAAAGATGGCTGAGTACTGCCGCTCCATCTTTGGAGATGCGCTACTCATCGAGCCTCTGGACAAGTACCCGGTACGGGGGCTCAGAGCGAGGGTGGGGGTATGCGGGCCACGGTGCTGTGGACCTGGACCAGGGCCCTGACTCGTCCATGCCTGCCCAGCTGGCCCCAGGTGTTCCCCTGCCCAGCCCCCAGGACCTGATGGGCCGTATCCTGGTGAAGAACAAGAAGCGGCACAGACCCAGCACAGGTGGCCCAGACAGCGCTGGGCGCAAGCGGCCGCTGGAGCAGAGCAATTCGGCCCTGAGCGAGAGCTCCGCTGCCACTGAGCCCTCCTCCCCGCAGCTTGGTAGGCCCCAGCCTGGCCTGCCACCCTGACCTGACCCCAGCCTCTGGCCTCATGCTGTCGGCGCAGTGACACTTCATCCCAGACCCCCAGCCCACCCTCCCGCCTCGCTGTGCACTTGCTCCCACAACTGGCCTCTCTCCTCACCACCTGTTGGCTGGTGTGGGGCCTCTGACCCCTGACCTCAGGTGCATGCCTCACCGAGCTGCATTGAGTCCACCTGCCCAGTTAGTTATCATTTCAGCTCACCTCTGACCTCTTACCCCTGACGATTCACCTCACTATGCCCCCTCCTTAGACATGGCTCTGACTTACCCGTGACCTGTAACCCCTCTGTGTCATCTCTTACCCCGCTATTAAGGCTGTGGTACCCTACTTCCTGACTTCTCACCCTACTGAACCACCCTATCTGCCTCCTTGCTGAATATCACCCCAGACCTTTACCTTTGACCTATGACCCCTCTCAACCACTACTGGATTTAATACTGTCTGACCCCTGACCTCTTGGCCTCTCCCCAAGCCACACTTCTCTGAGAGTACCCCTTGAATTCCCCACTGAGTCACCTGCACACACTGGGAAAAACCCCTCCACGCTTCCTAAGCAGCTGTGTGGTCCTGACCCCTGACCTTGTGGCCCTGTCCTCTGCAGGGTCGCCCAGCTCTGACAGCTGCCCAGGCCTGAGCAACGGGGAGGAGGGGGCCCTTGAGAAGCCCAGCCTGGAGCCTCGGAAGTCTTTGGGTGAGGAGGGCCTGAACCGGGGCCCCTATGCTCTTGGACCTGCTGACCGTGAGGATGAGGAGGAAGATGAGGAAGAGGAGGAGCAGACAGACCCCAAAAAGCCGACCACAGATGAGGTCAGGCCCAGAGGGCGGGCAAGTCGGGGAGGTAGCATCTATTTACCTCCCAAGCAGTTTATTACCTCCACTGGGGGCTGAGGGTCTGACCACCAACAAGACCGACATCACCCTGCGCCCTGGGGCTCAGTGTGGGTGTGAGTGAAGGTGGGAGGAGGGGTCTTCAGTCATCAGAAATGGAAACAAGCATACAGTTCTCCTGGTGATGTGGCCTGGGAGGTGCGAGTTAGGGCACAGAACTGGCAGAGGGCAGCCCTAGGCAGGGAGGTGGGGCTGGCAGAGCTCAGGAAGGGGGACAGCATGTGCAAAGGTCCTAGGGCAGAGCCAGGGGGTGCAGGAGCGGGGAGCATTGTCATGGGGAGCGTTGAGTAGCTGTGAGGAGTGGTATAGAAAAA